TATGGAATTCATAGTGATGATTCTGTTAGTGTTTGTATTTGGGTGTTGTTTTGAACATTCATGTAAAAGCACTAATGAGGATGATTTTGTTTGCGTTTGTATTTATGTTAGTGTGATGGTTTGGATGTTTGTGTGATAAACGCTTAAGGATCATTCATTTTGTGTGAGTTGTTAGGGTTTAGGGTTTAGAGTTTAGGGTTTAGGGTTTAGGGTAACAAAACTAGTTATTTGTTTATTCATTTTATGATAAACAAAGTTGGTTTAATTCTCATAAACGCTAAATTAGTTGTCTCAATAAAATTAGTTGTCAAAATTACCAAATTACCCCTAATAGGTAAGAGTCCAGGACTTGGACTCCAGTATAATGGACTGGATATTTATGTCTTTTAGGTCGGTCGACCGATTTTTGTGAATTGACCCACAAACTATACGCGTTTCAGAAATGCAAATTAAATCACGCCTAAATATATTTCGCGTTTCTGAAACGCGAAAACATAATATGTTAAGGAAATTTCGCGTTTCAGAAACGCGAATTTGTGGTACTTAAAACGTTTTTGCGTTTCTGAAACGCGAATTCTTGTGGGTTAAATCACAGTTTTTGCGTTTCACTTATTCGGTTTCTTTCTTTCCCGGTGGCCGGCGGACTCCATAGAAACCGGCGAATTTGAATAATCGTTGCCGGAAACGAGTTTCGGCGTCAATTTTTGTATTTTGTGGGCTATATATCAAAGTAAATTGTTATTTTGCTCTCATTTAATCATTTTTTTTGTGTTGGTTTTTTTTTTTTGATTTTAATTCCAAATCCTAAAAATTTTGTGTTGATTTTTTTTTTAATTTTAATTCACGATTTAATACTCCGTTAATAGATCTAGTATTATAGGTGGTGTAGTTGTGGATTTTTTTTCAAATTCGGGACTGTGGGTTATGACGGGGATTGCCGGCGGGGGAGTCGGGGTTGTGGGTTTAGAGAGGGGTTGCCGGCCGGGGGAGTCGGGGGACTTGCAGGGGAGGGGGGTAGGCGGCGGGGTGGGCTTAGGGTTGTGGGGTTTTGGGTTTGGGGGGTTGGGTTGGGTTTAGAAGTGGGTTTGGGTGTAGAGGGGTGGGTGTTGGGTTGGGTTTAGGGGGTTGGTTATTGGGTTGGGTTTAGAGGGTTGGGTATTGGGTATAGAGGGGTGGGTTTAGAGGGTTGGGTTTATAAGGTTGGGTATTGGGTTGGAATTTTTAAATGTATATAGATAATTTTATTAAAAAATAGGATAACAAATATTGATAAATACTCCCTCCATCCAATAATTATTGTCCAGTTTTACTAAAATGAAAGATTTTATTTGTGGTCAAACTTAACTATATTTTACCTTAAACAACCAGATATACCCCTTCATAAGTAATTGTTTAACCACTAAGATTTTATGAATAATATTTTTTACTAAGGACAAATGTGTAATTTGATCCATAAAAAGTCAAATTGGACAATAATTTTGGGACAAAATTTTTTAGGCAAAGTGGACAATAATTATGGGACGGAGGGAGTATTAATCAACCCGTACTAAAATTTAGGGTCGGTTTTCTTAATATATAGGATAATAAATATTGATAAATATTAATCCGTACTTACTAAAATTTAGGGTCGGTTTTTTTAATATATAGGATAGTAAATATTGATAAATATTAATCCGTACTTACTAAAATTTAGGGTCGGATGTTTTAAAATATAAGATAATTGACCTTGATAAATATTAATCCGTACTAACTAAAATTGAAGGTCGGATTTTTTAAAATATAAGATAATAAATATTGATAAATATTAATCCGTACTTACTAAAATTGTTTGTAAATTGTTATAGCAATGGACATTGGATCATCTTCTTCCTCCCAATCTACCTCAAAGAAGTTACGGCAGGGACCTAGAGACAATAGTTTGTTGTTCCTCCAAAACGCCCACAGGTCACATAATATATTCCATGGTGCACAGTATGATATAGGGATTTCGGAGCCTAGGCGTGTAGATAGCGCAACGTGGAAATATATAAAAGATGCACCGACAATGACAAAGGAATACATTGAGAAATTTGGTTTTGGACCGTTTTCTAGAGTTGGGTCCATAAGATGTGACCATGCCTTGCTTACAGCTCTTGTGGAGCGATGGCGCCCAAAGACCCATACTTTTCATTTACCTTTTGGGGAGCCTACTATCACACTGCAGGATGTAGAGGTTCTTTTGGGGCTTCAGGTTGATGGACATCCGATTACAGGACATCACACAATGCCTGAAGGTGGTTGGGCTGCCTATTTGGAGAGGATGTTTGGATTTAAGTTCCAGACAGAGGAGTCCAGATTGACGAGCGTTTCCATCACTGAAATAAAGACTCACATAGAGAACAATCCTTTGACGGACCAGTCCCCCGACGAGGCACACCTACAGCAAGCCCGTTGTTTTGTTGGATGTCTAGTTGGCGGATTACTGTTCTCTAACACTACAAGAAACAGTTTTCCACTCGATCTTGTGTATTTTCTGCATACTCCCGAGATTTGCTCGGAGTACAGTTGGGGTAGCGCGGCACTATATTACTTGTACCGCAGCATGTCCAAGTCATCTCTCGCCGCTTCCGCAAAGGCTATTATCGGCTGGTGATTCTTCTTCAGGTATTTTATCTTTTCATTTCTCTCTCTTTTCATTTTATATTCTCCCATAATTATTTGTGATATTAGCTAATGATCCCTAAATTCTGAATTAGCTCTGGGCCTGGGAGCGGATTTTGACGGTTCAGCCAAAGATACTGGGTGGGGTGCTCGATCTTTCTCATTGTCCATTGGGCACGAGGTAATCTTATACATCAAACCTCCGGACATTTTGACATTGTGATTTGTACTGTCATGTCTCAATTTAATGTTAGTTTTTCTGTGTAGGTGGTCCCGTGAGAAAAAAGTTCAAGGTATCACACGATTCAATTTGGCCGCCTACCGGGATCAGCTTGCAGTTCTCGCAGAGTCAGATGTTAGTATTCATTTCCATTACTGTAACATATTCTTTATTGAATTTTTTTAATGGTGCCAGACTTTTAATTACGCGTCTCTTACTATATTACCACTGCAGTTTGTATGGATGCCGTACACGACTCTTCTGGGTTGTATTGCCAGGGTTTGTCTTATGGGACAGGGCATCTGGCGATCTCAGACATGGCTCATCTGCGGTGATGTCGTTGCGCCACATAACTCCAATAGGGTATTTCGCCAATTTGATTATCACCAACGGATACCCGGCTTGGGGGAAATTACTAGCCTGCTCAAGAGGAAGCTGTTTGGAGGATCCGATAGGAGATGGATACAACAACTAGGGATATATCTCCAGGTTTGGAATGATCGCCACGGCAGACTTGTCGGGACTGATGATGATTATGTTGGCGAGCCTACAGCAGATCCGGAGTATCTCTTGTGGTACCATCAGGTTACTGAAAAGTATGTTACGGATCCGACGGACTCTGAAAATGCGAGGGGTTTTCACGGCTTTGCAGAGACCTTGCGCCTCATGGTGAGTCTTTTGTACAATTTCTTTCGCCTACAGTCCATTATGTAATTTATTTTCATTGTTATCGATTTACGATTCTTTCTCACAAAAATTTCAGGCCACTTTGATGGAAGACGTTCGTAGTCTGAGTATTATAGGCCAGCGTACTTTCGACAAGGACTCCTTTGGTTATGATCGCTTAGGCGAGATTGCCCAGGTTGCTGAGCGGGCGTTGTCCGTCAATGCAACAAACGTTGTACGTCACAATCTCGAGAGGCAGGTTGCGGTTAATGACATTTTGAGTCAAGAACTTGCACCTGTAGACCCGATCCAGCAATATCCACCTCCCAGACCTCCGAGACGTTCACGCAGGTCTCAGCGTGGACGTGGGGGTCAAGAGACAATCACGCCCACTCAGCCACATCAGTCCTCCCAGCATCAGCAGTCTCATATCCCCTTCACTGATGGTTCATCCCATCAGTCTCCACTTATGTCTCCACACCATTCTTCTCAGCATTCATCCCATCAGACTCCACATTCTCCACATCATTCATCCCATCAGTTTCCACATCAGTCTCCCCATCATTCTTCACCGACCCAACAGGCGTTTTACCGTCCCAGTATGTCTCCCCAGCCCCAGCAGTCCCATTTTGCCTTCACTCAGTTTTCCTCCCCTCAGACTTCTCAGCCACAGTTTGGAGATTCTTTTATTGACTTTTCTGGGTTCCAGCAAAGTTCTCTAGATGGCCAGTCGATACATTACACGAGTAACTTTCTTTCGAGTATGTTCGAGGGTGTTGCGGGTCAGCATCGGGCTAATGATCTAGCTGGAGGTGAGCGTGAGAGTCAGGGTGAAGATGAGGATGAGGATGAGGCTGAGGATGCAGACCAGCAGGATCAGTTTGAGGGTCAGGGTTATCAGCGCCATGAGGAGCAGGGATTAAGTCAGACTCTAGGGACTCCATCGTTGGTTGTGAGTAAAGGCCAGAGAGTGACAAAAGAGCCCGATAGATTGACTTATAGCCATTTTCGGGCTAAAAAGCCCAAGAAGAAGTAGGGTACTAGACTTTTTATGTAGTATTATTAGACTTGTATTTTTTTTTTCCTTTTGTTATGACTTGTTTTTTTTTTTCTTTTGTTATGACTTGTAGTATTTTGTTATGACTTGTATTAATATTCTTAAACAATGATTTCACCTGCATCATTGCTACTTTATTAATATTTATCAAACACATCTTCGCTGATCGAATCTAAAAACAAAAATTTTATTTCATTTCAAACTATATTTTATTTTTTTAATAATTAATAGTTGCTTCATCTTTTTTTTTTTAAACAAACAACAAAGTATTTAGTTTATCCAAACAAAAGATGTAATTCTTAGCTCTTACATACCAACCGTCTATTAAAATTACCACATCCACAAAAGGATAGTACCAGACACCTAAAACAAACATTCAGTAAATTATAGTTCTCTTCAAAATTAAGATGCGGTGCATTAAATAATCACATTGGCAACACTCGCAATCCTAAGCCAACGATCATCACACTCCTTTCCAATGGGACCACTGATTGCAGAACCTTCCATTTTTCCCTTGGGATTAACAATCACTCCAGCATTATCTTCAAAGTACGTGTAGACACCGTCCTTTTGGCGCCATGGTTTGCGCTGGCGGACAATGACTGCGGGCATGACCTTCTTCCTGAGATCGAGCTTACCCTTCTTGACGGCGGCCATAACCCTGTCACCGACGCAAGCAGTAGGGAGACGGTTGAGCCTACCCTTCATTCCCTTCACTGAAATGATGTAGAGGTTCTTTACCCTAGTGTTGTCGGGGCAATTCACCGTCGCAGCCACTGGAAGACCCAGAGATATCTTGAACTTGTTACCCGCCGATCCTCTGCGTCCTCGCTTCGACATTTTTGCTGTCTCCCCTGTGAGGTTTCCGAAGAAGATAAAATACTTGGTTCATCTTAAGCTTTGGTAAATTATGATAAGTATTTCTTAAAACTTATTCATATTTTAAGCTTTTTTCTTATATTGAAACCGTCATAATTAATATAAACAATTTGTAAATTAAAATACATCTAATTAATATAAATCCATAAAATTACGTCATTTATCATTATTGAACATTTTTCATATCAAATTATTTTATAAAATAATGATTAAATTTTTAATATAATTTTTTAAAAATTTTATAAATTATAATAATTATTTCATAATTTTAATAATTTATATTTAGTCTAGCTCTATTTAATTAGTGAGTATCAATTATAATATTATATTCATATCAAAATTTAATTTTCCTATTATAAAAATTATCAATATAATTTTTCTAGTAATAATTTTCTTCTTAAAGCTCTATTCAAAATTAATGATTATCAATTATAATTTTAAAATTTTCCTTTAATTTCATTATTAAAATTTAATAATTTTTCAAAGTAAATTTGCCTACAAATTTTTAAACTATGCAAATTAATTGAATTTTTATGACTATTTCCTTTTTTTATTTAAATAAAATATTCTTTTTTATTGTTTTCGCACTTTGGAAACGCCAAAAATAATTTTTTTTTATATCTTTCGCGCTTTGAAAACTCGAAACTTTATTTAATAAATTTTTTTACCATTAATTAATTACGATTAAGTTAAATAAATTAATATAACCTATTTTTAGCGTTTCTGAAACGGGAAAATCTTCTTTTAGCGTTTTTAAAATGCGATTTTGCCAATTTTCGCGTTTTTGAAGTGCGAAAGAATTAGTTTTGGGGACAATTGAAACCTTAAAACTATTTTGTTCTTCAGTAATTTTTTCAGATACATATAAGTAATTTTTCCCGACGATGAGCTAGATTCTCGGAGCAAGGCAACGTTTCTGTACAGATGTTCCAGATAGAGTGCCTGATATGGGGTGGAATACGGAGTTACCAAATTCCATTCCAAAGAGCAGAATCAGCCGCAAAGATGGGGTCTCGATCAAGTGAATAAAAAGGGTTAGGGTGTGCGAGGCCATAAGAGCGTGGCATGCCGACCTAACCGTATGCTTCCCGTGGCGCGTGTGGTGCCATCTCCATAGATCCTGTCCCTGGGATAATCCAACGTCCAAACTCAGAATTACATCAGCTATTGTGGGAGAGAAGGCTGCCTGAATTAACTTCGTGTGCCAACCGCCAACAGCATCATTTAACAAAACCGAGACCAAGGCATCCTGTGGAATCATATCATTAATTTGAACAGCCCTGAAGTCGGGGAGAAGAGGTACCCAGGGATCGCGGAAAATACGAGTATTTCGGCCCGCTCTGATTAGCTTTCGGCAACCAAGTTGAAGCAAAGATTTGCTCTCGAAAATGCTTCCCCAAGACCACGATGGACGGGTACCCAATGAGTTCAAAAAATCTGAGTTTGGGTAGTATTTGGCTTTATATATACATGAGAGGAGAGAAGTAGGGCTTTGTATACGTTTTCTTGATTTGCAAAGTGAAGCACAAAGCAGCACATTCACCTGCCCAAACTTGCAAACATGTCTCGGCTTGAAATGTTCACCACACCGGTAGCACAAGTGGTTGTTGGCTCGATACTGAAACTCCTGCAATGACATTTTTTTGATATATCTATTACCATGGCCTTTATAACCATTTATTTTGATACCATTTTCATCTTTAGTTCCTAACACCCCTTCTCTGTCCTCTTTACCCTTAACGATCTTATCAACAAGGTCACCAGTGGGTATCCTATCACTATATCCTACCGGAGACTCATTTCCACCCCTCACACTTCCTGGTGAGCTAAGGGGAGAATCAATCTGTCCAGAATCATGCCAACCTAAACTACCATTGAAAGACAGAGATTGCTCTTGATAGAGCGCAATTTCAAAAGCAGCAATGTTTTTAGTGCCACATTCTAACAGCCAGTTTCAATTCAGCCTTAAGTCCACTTATAAAACAGGATACATAATAAGCATAATCAAACTGGTATCCCATCAACAACAATCTAGAACGTAACTCCTCAAATTGTTCTTGATACTCAGTTAAACTACCAAGCTGAACCAGTTTACTAAACTCTTCAATACAGTCCTGACCATTACTAGTTCCAAAATGCTTAACCAACAATTCAGCAAATTCAACCCAGGTAGGCATACCATAAGCATGTTTAACACCTTGATACCAGGTGTTCGCCTTGCTGTCCAGGAACAATTCCACAGCATCAATGAGTTCAGCTTCTGGGAGTTGGTGCATCTGAGCTTACTTACGGCATTTGCGCAACCAATTCTACGGATTATCACCTGTAAAGACCGGCAAATCCACCCGGGGTTGCTGATACCACCGGTAGTTCTACTGTTCCCCAATTGTTGTCGCCCTGAAATCCCCCTGAATTCGTGAACTCCGACAGGGGACTGTTTTTGTTGAAATTGCCGGCGCGTGTCTGGTGGTTAATGTCCACGCGCATAGGGTTAACTGGAGATCGACGATTTCCTTTTTCCATCGCCGCTTTGAACGAGGCTTGATGGTTTTCAGCTCCACCTTGTGCAAAAGGCGGCCGGTAGGGTGCTGGAGAGGTCGGAGAGGTTACTTCCGTCACCGGCGCCTTCTCGGGATTTCTCTGCTGCATCGCGCCGATCAAATCCAACATTCGTTCCATTGAAGCAGTCAAAGAATCCACCTTTGATTCCAAGGAAGTGAAACGCGAGTCGAGATTGGAGAATTTCGACTCTAGGGTTTCAATCCGACCAGAGTTGGCATCACTGTTGGTTTCCTTGGCTGATTCCTCCACCGTAGCCCTTGTTCTTGTCATTTTTTTTTTTTGGATTGAAAGTACATAAATTGATTGGGAATGAAGGGTTTCAGAAATGAACGAACCAAAAGTATGAGTAAATTCGAGCGGAAAAGTCACGATTTGGGGTCTAAAAAATTCCGAGGAAAGTCTAGCTCTGAGGCCAAATGTAATGCTATGGCAATTTAGAGATTAAAACAGGGATGAATTCAACAGAAACAGGAAATTGAAAAGGAAAATTAGGATTCTACGGGAAGGAAAGAATTGGGGATCTTAAACTTCTGAAAAACCAAATCAACACATATCTATTCCATAATAATATTTTCACCCCAATCAGACTATATATAGTCGGATAATTTGAGGACTTACAATTTAACCCTTATTCTATTAATTTAAGTCAAATGAATCCCTGATTCATGACACCCGCCAGGTTAACCCAAACTCAACCCGTTAATAAACAGGTTAGGTCAGAACCAACCCATTTATTATTTGGGTAAAAAATTCCAACCCAAAACCACTAATTTCGCGTTGAGTTCGTATCGGGTTCATGGGTCCAAACCCAGATTGACACCCCTGCTCAGAAGGGAGAATTAATACTGTTCAGGAAGGACTAGTGCTAGTGAGATTTTTAGAGATCCATATGGATGTTCAGATGAATATAATGTAGGTTTTTTGCTTTATTACGGAACGAGTTCATTTCTAGTTGGGTTATATTTGGGGTGTTCTCGATTGTTTTAGTTCGTGGTGTTCAGGAGCTGATCATTAAAAGAGATTGAGTTTAAAACTAAGTATTCCATCTATTTCGTAATTATTATCTAGTTTGAATTTTTATTTATAGTTTAAATTATACAAAAAGTGAAATCTCAAACTGGACAATCATTTGGGACAAAGGGAGTATATTTTCCGGGAGACAAACTTAATTTATAGCACAAGTTCATAATTAACAAGCTATTGTTTTTTCTTTTAAGAACTGAATCTTTTTCTTTTTTTTTTTTGGGTAAACAAGAATCAAATCTTGAATTATTAAAGTATGTTTATTGTAGGGGTGAGTCTGGTAGATACTTTTATACATGTTTCATCCCAAAATAATTATTTAGGTTGGATGTTTTTACTTTAATTATATTTTTACTTAAAATCAAAATCCAAACTCGATAATCATTTTAAAATGGAAGGAGGGTTAGGCCTTGGCTTAGGCTCTCTGTAAACAAAATAAAAAGATGAACCGGCTAGTTGAACCAGAAAAGAGAAAAAGATGAACCACTACATAATTTACGTATAACCAATGTTACATGATATATGATCAGTTCCTCACGGTTTCCCATCAAATTAAAAAGTGACGAAATACATTAACATAGAAGTTCTTCAGAATTAAACAAAACTAAACCCAATGTTTGTCTACATATCTAAACATATTTCAAAGCACAAGTCCTCCTTGAATAGCATCACACAAATCCTTCTCTAAGATTAATTGATCACAACACGATTCTGAAGCAATTCTTGGATTGAAGTTGCCTTCTGTAGAACTCCACGATATACCAAAAGGATTGATTTGGTAGTCCAACAAATTTTGGAGTAATTCTCATCCTGGAAGAGCCAACATTCCACTGTTGACGAAGTTTTTAAGGAATGGATGTTTGAGAAGTTTGTCAGCACTCCATCTTGATAAAGTCCCAACCCGGAAACATTTGCTCAGAAATCTCTCCCAGTTTCCGACATGTATTCAGGTATCTCCGGCCTCATGTTCTTCCTCCTTCAATCCCAAAATGTCTTTGCCACCATTGAGCATCTCTAAAACAGTACACCCAAAAGCCCATATATCCGCCGCCTTGCCCTGAATCTCATGTTTTACCGATTTTGGCGATAAATATTCCTCCGTCCCCCAAGCGCCAACAATGTCATCACTCACATTCTTGCTCACTCCAAAATCCGCAAGCTTGAGATGGTCTAGATAACCATTGGTTGTGGGGAAAAATGGGACGTTTTCCGGCTTAATATCGCAGTGAACAATATCATTGTCTTGAACAAAAGAAATAGCTTTCAGTAGCATGTAAGCGTAGCACGCTGCAAGGGCTTTTGGCATGATGTCCTCGTAACTGGCTATCAATTCCTTCAGCAAACCTCCGGGCGCGTACTCCATTAGAAGATTGTAAGCGTACCCGTCGTCGTTTTCGTCGAAACTCACGTCTTCTCCGTAATACTCAACAATGTACGGGTTCCCTCTAAGTTTGTGTAAGAACAAAGCTTCTCTCCGCAAAGTGCTTGATCTATCCACCGGCGCCGTCTTCACTGCCGCCTTGGGGGTCGTTGTCGTAGACCCGTCAAGGGAATTGACATAGTTTTCGTCAAAATAAATTTCACAACCCACAGTGTTCTTATCTTCACTGATTCGAGCCAGTTTATAAGCATCCTGTTGAAGGAAAATTCCTGCCAAGTTCTTTGTTTCTTACTAGTTTTATATTGGGAAAACAAACAAATAAAACAAAACAGAGAGGGTTTGGTGCTTTGTGCGCTACATTCTTTGTTTGCTATAATCCTTTTCAGGAAACTCACCTAGAGAAACATAGAAGGGGTGGGGGGACCATTGACGAACGAAAGGGAAGCAGCCAACTAAGATGGGGTCAAGGGACCATAGATTCAATGAAGACCAGTGGTCTGATTCTACTGAATCGCCACAAGGATCTGAATATTCTGAAGATAGGCGTGACGGGCCACTCAGATCTAATGCAGATCCACCGTGGAGTACACCAGCCATGAGGGGCCTAGTGGTTAATATGCCACGTCGCTTTATGGAGAGAGCTCTTCAAAGGTACGAGAACTGCTTAGTGGGGTTTCTGTTAGATTATAGGGTTTTTAGTCAACAAACAATGCATGAGTATGTACGGAGTTTTGGGTGGTGGGGGGGGATATTCTGGTATTAAGGAGGGAGGGTAGATTCTATGTTTTCCAGTTCCAAACGAGAAGTCAGATGTGGCGGTCTTGCACAATGGCCCTTACGCAGTCGCTGGAGCCTTGTTAGATTTACGGCGTTGGGAACCGAAGATGTTCTTCCAGAGGTTTAGGGTTACACATGTGGTCATTTGGGTGAGATTTACAGGAGTCCCTATGGAGTTGTATGATAATGAGGCAGTAGAAATGATGGCGGCCATAGTTGGAGGAGTAGAGGATGTGGAGGTTGATACAATTCTCTGTGCAAAAGTATGGGTCAACATTGATTGTCCTCTAGTTCCAGGGTTCTACTTGCGGGGAAGTGGTGATCACAAATTCTGGGTTCAGTGTGAATATGAAAGGCTGCATAAGATCTGCTGTAGGTGTGGGAGAATCGATCACACATATCCGATTTGCCCAATAACAGATGGTAGAGAGCTCACCCAATATCTTCATGATAACTTCATAAGGGATGACAAAGGTCTTGGGATTACCGCTTCACGATGATTTGGGATTCAAACTCTATACAGCAGCGATCAGAGCGTATTTTCATGTGGCAGAAAGAAGATATACAAGAATCCCACAGAGCTATTTTCACAAATATCATGTAGCTTGGTGTCCAATAGGGTGGGGCCAACCATGCAATGGGTTCCGGTGTGCAATAATGGAGGAGGGGGAGTCGTCCACTGTAGACCCGGAGATGGGAGGTGACCGGGGAATTTTGCAGGTCCAAGGGGGTCAGAGGCGTGGAGTTGAGCAACTGGAAAGTGGCACTAACCATCTTTGCCAGAGTACGTCCTCAAGACCACCGGGATCAAGTGGTAATCATATGGGGAATAGGGAACCGAGATGGGTATCGGAATCGAGATCTGAAAGATTACCTAATCGGGAACAATTACATCATCTAGGAGAGCTGACTCTGGAGAGGATGAGCCAGTCTTGAATGTGGGAGAAAAGTCTATGCACATCAATAATGAAATCGATGAGGAAGGGACTTCGCATCGCTCGCCACCGTAAAAAATTCATTCACCATAGAATTTCCCAGCCATAGATGGAGAGGATGAGGCAAAGGAGCAAGATCGGTAGAACATCCGAACTTACATTCAAGATGGCCAAATCTTTGAAGAGAAAATTGTGATAGTTGAAGGCCAAAAACAATCGGACTGTCCAGAGCTGGTATCTTGGGAAAAGTTCAAAACTCCTCAGACGCTGCCAGAGTTGCCACAATGGTGGGAACCAGATTTTTTTACCACTGAGAATAGGAAATAACATATACAGATGGCAACATTAAAGAGAAGAGTTATGACGATGAGAGTGGTCTAGTGAGGGCTTCAGAATGGGTGGGCCGTTATTGGAAGAGGAGGAAGATATGGGCTTACAAGGCCCATCTGATGAGGAAGAGGAAGCCCATGAGAGAGGATTGGGGGAGGAAGAAAGGAGGGTAAGGAGAAGGGTAAGAAGGCGAAAGAGGCCGGCCCAGGAAAAAGGAAGCAAAGAATCGTGACCCAAAAGAGGAGAAGGAATAAATCCAAAGCCTGCAGTGAGAATTGGCCCATGAACTGTGGGCCTGAAATAAATCAAATTTCTGGACCGGTGATGAGAGAGGGGGGGTGAAGTGACTGAAGTGAACCGAGAAATGGAAAGTGGGCTTAAAGGGCTAAAAAAACTTGTTAGGAAAAGAGCCCGGAGATATTTGAGAAATTGGCAAAAAAAAGTCAAAACCAAATTTTGGGGGCTGATGTGTAAAGATTTGCAGGGGGGGTTTATAACCGATGGCTACGCCGGGGTTTCAACGGCTGGACAGAGACAGTCTCAATTCCAATGTGTTTTCCAGACCTTAGGTGGCGGAGATGGAGAAATGAGACATAGGCGGGGTTGACAAGGGAGACAAGAGTTATCTAGGGGTGTTAGGGGACAGCGGCTGGAAAGAGGGTCGGGGAATCGGCCATTGCAAAATTGGCGGGCGCAGTCAGAACCGGCGAATGGAGCATCGGGGGGGGGGGAGTGGGAGGAAGAGTGTTGGCATGTTGAAAAATTCAGGAGGACGGGGAGTTGGAGTGAAGGTGTTGGAATGGGCCGTCAAATGAAAGAGAGGTGGCACAGAGGGCCTTGTGGTGGTGTGGCGGTCGGAGTAGGGGGTGACTTGCCAGAAAACGGGGAGGGGTTAGGAAAGGAAGGAAGAAAGAGGCACCTTTATTGGTTCTTGGACAATTAGGAGACATAGAGGAGGATTGATGACCAGATGGGACCGGAGGAGGTGAGAAGACTATTAGGCCGTGAGGAAAATGGTGGAGTTGTCGTTATCACTTTCCAAAAGAAATATTTATAAGCCTACTTAAAACTATTAGCTAGTGGTAAGTAGGGTCGTTCCACAAAGACGACAGTCAATCACTCAAAATTTGATTAAAGTGTAGGGAAGAAAATGAGTTGAACAGATTACCACTTGGGAGAGTGAGAATAGTCCCTAGACAAAGCGAAGAGGCAGAAGGGTCAATCACCTTCCTACTTTTATGATCCAGTTTTGATTCAAATATTCATGTAGTGTATGATTAGTTGTTTGATCAGGCACTTATATTCTTTATAATTCCTTCCAAACAGAATAAAGAGTCCTAGATTATCTAAATCACCTACCTTCCAGTCAGAGTAATTCATTAATCTAAGCCATTGAGTTCTTAAGCCCTCTTTGATCGCCTATGCCATGCACCTAACTTCCGTTGATGTTTGGAACCGCAGGATAGATTTCCTCCATTGTCATAGACTAGATTAAGCAGTTCTAAGGTTATGCTCCCCCTTCCAGATCTCCCTAACAATGCAAGCACATTTAATTAAGTGGTCAATTTAATTAAAAGGTTAATTAAATCACTTATCTAGGCACAACACCTCATCAATGAAACTGAATCAAAACCTTCACATAAAGATAGTAGGGATTGAACCCTTAACTGAGTTAGCTACTCATGTTTATTGAATTAAACATTAGAGCAACAAAGTAGAAAAGATAAGACATAAATCTAGATCAAAAGGTTAGAGGAAAGAAAGGGAAGATGGTAGCAGGAACAATTTCTGTCTGCTCACTTGACAAAGTGACAGTCTGCCTCCTTGTTCCTGCTACTACCTTGTTTCTAACTTACTAACTAACTACCTAACTACTGTCTTTGTGACTAAATCTAACTACCCAATCTGTTGTTTTTCTAACTGCTATTGGTTGACTATTTATAGAGATTTGGAGAAGCTTGGATTGGTTGGTTTCTGACCTTCTTCTCTGTAGCAGAAAGGTGAGGCAGCAACTTGCAGCAGTAGAAGTTTGTTTATTCAGCAACTTGCCTAGTTGGCAAGTTGCAGTCTTCTCTTTGGCTACTCTTTCTCTTCAGCCGCAATCAGCAATCTTTCTCTCATCATTGCCTTCTTCTTTTAGTCTTATTTTCTGGAGCAGTTTCTACAATTTCCAGCCACAAATCCCTATTTTTTCATTCTTTAATCCTCAGCAGCTCAACTAGCAGCAGTAGCAAGCAGCAGCAGGCTTACTTTTTCTGCCTTTTCCTTGTTTTCTGTGATCACTTGCAACACCATTTCTCACCTGACTGTAGCAGCCAATTCATCAATTCAGCAGCAGTAGTCACAACAGGTAAGTAGTAGGTTGTATATGCTGTTTTCCACATATTCTCCCTCATTCTCTTCTTCAATTTATAGCAGCTATAACTTGCAGTGATGGCGAAACAATTCCTTCCTTTGGCAGCAAGAATTCAGCCTTGGCTCTTCCTGATTGACAGCAGCAACAGCAACTGTAGCAGCAACTTGGCAGCAGAGCAGCTGCCATTTCTTCTTCCTCTATTGAGGTAGTTACTGCAGAGTTTTCCAATTGAATCCATCTGCTATCAATCTTCCTTCCACACCAAGGATTTCTCCACTTGCTTCAGCTTTGATCAATCCTCCAGCAGCTCAATTTCCAGCAGCTTCCATTCCAGTCCATTTTGATGCCCTTTTGTGCAATTTGACCCTCATTTATGTTGATTTTCCACATTGGCCCTTGATTATCCTGAAATACATAATCAACCCCAAAGTAAACAAATTCTAATTAATTGTCACCTAATACTAAGTAAAAATGAATAGAAAATGCCTGCTAAAAGTGTATATATTTTACTGTCATCGGAAAATCAGGAAGCGGGGGGAGCAATAATTGCCGATGCTATCTTATTAGAGGTAATGAAGCTTCTTAAAGACTTTCAGGAAGGGGTTACGGTGACTGTCCCAAAACAGTCACCAAGGCAACCATGAGTGTTTTCTGTTGGAACTGTAGGGGGTTAGGGCAGTTCCCTACAGTTCAATTTCTTAAGAAAACAATCAGTGTATATAGGCCGAGTATTATAGTCTTTTAGACACAAAATGTATTAGTAAGAAAGTTACCAAGTGGCTGCGGTCTACACATTTTGGAAATTGGGAGCTTGTGGACCCAATTGGTGTAGCCGGGGGCATTTGTGTTACTTGGGATAGTAATGTAGCACTCATAGTAGTTAGCAAATCCCAAAATTTTGTACTGTTGAAAGTGTTAAGGCCAGATGGAAATGAATGGTTATTGGGGTTTGTGTATGGACATCCGAATTTAAGTCGTAGGGAAGAAATGTGGAAGGAGATTGATGCTGAAGTTGTTGTGGATTTCTATTGATGGGAGATTTTAATCAGATTTCGGGGAAGGATGAGAAAAAAGGGGTGTCAAAACGGAAAAAAAGGGGATGAAGAAGGCTGAAAGTGATGCTAGATAAATTAAATTTGAAGGAAGTAAGGAGTAGAAGAGCGTGGTTCACTTGGTCCAATGGCCGTACAGGGGGGAGGAGGAGATAAGAGAATGATTAGATAGAGCTTTTGCAAACGAAAGCTGGAAAGAAATGTTTCCTCACCGAATGTTGGAGAATCTACCGATTATGAGATCAGATCATGGCCCAATAGTATTGCAGCTAAATCCTATTAGGAGGAGTCAAGTTACGCAGAAACATTTTGAGAGCTTCTGGTCTAGGGATGAAGCTGCAATGCAGATCGTTAAGCAGTGCTGGAAGGATAGACAACAGAGGAAAGGGAACCTAAGAGTGTCAAAGTGGCTGTCGGGATCCATAAATGTAGTCCTACGACATCTCTGTAATTGACACAGCCAGTCTTTAGGGGCGCCAGAACATAGGGTAAAGCGTCTCATGAAGGATATTGCTAAGGGTCAAACTGAAGGAAAGGCGATGATGGAGGAGTGAAGAAGACTGGATGAGGCGTTGGAGGACCAGGCACAATATTCGAAATAGAGGGCGTAGGTCTTATGGGCAATTGAAGGGGATTCGAGCATGAAGTTTTATCATAACTGGGTTAATCGGTAAAAAGAAGGACCTATGTGACGCAATTGAAAAAGCAAAGTGGAGAATGGATGACGTTGCAAGAGGAGATTAGAGGCCTAATTGAGGAGCATGTGAAAGGGGTGTTTATTAATGAGACCGAGACTGGGGACGCAAGTGACCCGCATTCCATGGAGGAGGTTCTAGATTTACTGAATGGGAAGCTGGCATCAGCACAGGCAGAGGAATTGGAGAGGAAGGTAACGGAGAGGGATGTAAAGGAGGCAGTTTTCGCCATGGCAAAGTGGGAATCCCCGGGGATGGTAAGCCTCCAGGCTTCTACCAAAGTATTGGAGTATTATCTACCAAGATGTTTTTTGTGGGGTTAAAGAGTTCTTTGATGGAGGGTATATGGATGAGGAATGGAACAAAACTTTGTTGGTCATGATTCCAAAGCAGCAGAATCCGGTCGAGGCTGCAGATTTTAGACCAATCAGCCTATGCAACGTCGTATATAAAATAGTGCCAAAAATTCTTGCGAATAGGCTGAAGAAGGTGGTCAACGGATTGGTGGATGACAATCAATTGGCCGTTTTGCTAGGGAGGATGATTACGAAAACGTATTAATAGCCCA